ACGTGAATAATAATTAGCAATGATGGCAAAACATTGTACGATGTGAAGAAAAAACATATATTGAGTATTTAAAGTTTTGGGATTAAAAAAACTTAGTTAAAAGTGTAGTAAGAATACGAATAGCGAGTTCGTTATTCAAGATGTGGGGCTTATCTGAAGCCGTGTATTACATCACCTGGCTAATTTTACAACAACTTTTTTTTCAGCCAGTATTTTGGAATTCTGTAAAAACTGGCGTATTTTGTAAAAAAATCTACAATTTGGCATGGTATTAGTAGTTAACACCTCGTACACTAAAAAAGTCATTTTTAAATTAGATTAATGGTCATTAAAAAATCAAACGAGAGTTATTAAATTACTTTTTATGATTCCTAATTGAAGACTTGATCTTATTATTTATAATGAGAGATTTTGTGACTCAAAATATTCCTGTAAAGTCAATTTTTAATGAAAATAAGAAGCGTTAACAGCAAGAAACTGCCACTAGGTATGCAATAAATTTTTTTCAATAGGAATTTTTGATCTTTTAGGAACTGATATTTTTAACAATGCCATTTCGTAACCTATTAAATAAGTTGTGGTAGAAGTCACAAAGTTGTAAATCTCACTGTGCACTTTGAAAATAAGCAAAAATGAATTTTCAAAGAGAATAAAATTGAAGAGACAATAAAAAAAATAGCAGATAAAGCTGAAAACGAATAAAATATAACTAATAATTATAAAAAACCACTCAAGTATATCAGTACCTTTAAGAACTTCAGTTTTAGTAACAAACTAAAAATTTTGATAAAATAAACAAAGACAATCAAAAATACTACAAAAAACAAACTAAACACAGTATTACTTAAGCGTGAAAGATTGTTTTTGAAATCAATATAAAATAAAAAAAATAAAAATGTTAATGTTAACATAATTACTTCTACTGTGAGAGACTCTTTGGACTTGGGATTTTGCGAGGATGTATTTCATGATTAGTAAACTTCACAGTACACTTTATAAAGAATATAAGATGCGTTTATGATACTCAGCTGTACTGTTATTCTCTAAAATTTTCCGTCTTATCTCAGCAGCCGTTAAGGCTGGTTAACAGCTTATGTACGACTGACTAGGCCGATGCGCAGCATCGGTCACGCATTTACTGATTACATACACATATACACAGGTGGCGCTCTGTGTAAACTCTACTCTCAATACTCTCTCCAGTTTCACAGAGCGCCAATCACTAGTTGTCTTTGACTGATTGCCTTAGTACTAATTTGTACCTTTTATTAAACATTAATAAGAACTATAAAGGAAAATAAATAAAAAATAAATGTGTAACAAAAGTGACGGCCTTTTTCTCGTAGTCTTATAAATCTCCTTTAGCGATTGTTACCTAAAACAAATTTAAATAACGAAGGTTAAATTCTAAAGATAGAGCTGGATTTACTGTCGTATAATGTGATCACTCATTTAGCAATTTTTCAGTTATTTTCTCATGCAGTTCAATTGGTAAAGCTGTAGTAAAAATGTCAATTTGATATTTAGAGGCAATTCATTTGATTTCCATAAGCTTGTATTCAGCACATTCTTTAACATAATGTTTACGCACTGATGACATCTGCCTGAGTTTAGTTCCCCCATAAGACTTCACGCTTTCTTCGACCGCTTTATTATCACATTACACTGTCATTGGGTGGAATGTGGTATTAAGTACAGTTGTCAAGATGTTTCTTAGAGCCATAAGTTCTTGGCATGCCCCGCTCATAGCAGTATATTAAGCCTGATAAGTAAACAAAGTAACATGTGTTTGCTTGTGTGTACTCCAGAATACCGAATCGCCAAGCAGTTTTATGATGTAGCCACTTGTCGTGTGTGAATTTTTACAATCCGCGAAGCTTGCATCTGAATGGACAGTCACGTTTTCAGTGTTTCCTTTAAATGTCAGTTCTTTCTTCCGCGTACCATTGAAATATTGAAAAACTCTCTTGACCATATGTCTATCTTTTTCTGTAAAGTTAATTTGATGTCTACTCAATACATTCACTGAATAAGATATGTCTGATCAAACAGTCTTTGCCAGATACACTAAACTGCCAACTGCTTTCTGATATGAGAAATCTTCTGATTTGTCCACATTTTGGTCTTCTTCATTTCTAGATTCCTCTCTGTTTCCTTGCTGTGAATTTACGACTTGCCGTGTCACCATGGGTGTTTTGCACTGTCAGGCATTGTCAAAACCAAACCTTTGCATTATTTTGTTCATATGTTTTTCCTGTGTCAGACGAATAATTTGATTCTTTCTATCTCTGTCAATTTGTCTCCATCGAAAAAGGCAAGGCTCACTAGGACGTTCCATTAGTCGTATTTCTGTAGCTGTCTCGAAAAACCTTTTATATCAACGTTTGGGACTGATTATAAGTCCATACAGGAATTTTTTTAATCTGGAAACTTTGGTCTCTCTTAGTTTTTGAGCACAAGAGATGCCGTCTGGTATTTCCATGTATATCTCGTCATTCCTTGTACCATTCAGGAACGTAGTCTTCACATCAAGCTGTCATGTTTCCAAGTTATATTTGTTGATTACTGCCAATAAGACAAGGATTACAGGCAGTCGGGAGACAGGGGCATAAGATTCCAACAAGTCATATTGGTTTCTGTCGTTAAATCCATGGATTACTAACCTGGCTTTATATTTGATTTTTCCAGAGTTCTTTTCTTTCCTTTCAAGAACCCATCGATAATCGATTACAACTGGCTTTTTGTCTTTATTATCAGTCGTCGGTTCGTTAACAATCTTTCAGATATTGTTCTCATTCATTGATTTCAATTCTTCTATAGCTTTCTACCATTCTGTAGTATGTTTGCTCTTTAGAGATTCTTGATAGCTGGTTGAGTCTTTGCAAGTTTGAGCCAATAATGCATGGTATGCTTCATCTCGTTTTTTTATTCACTGAGTAGTCTTCTCCGCCAAGATTTTTTTGCTCAAAAGTGATATGGTTATTTATATCACACGACACCTGCAGTCCTGCGAAGTTGGTATCATGTATCAACTTCTATCGTTTCGCTGGTGAACTTTCTTCTGTCTTTCCCTTATTAGATATTTGAGTCGGTCGTCCTCTCTTTTATTTAACAGTCTCTTCTTTCATTTTAGAGCTCTTTTTTTTGTCAAACTTCAGGAGCCAGCTGTCGTTATTAATTTTTTCTGTGATTAATTTCCAACTCAAGTCGTTTTTCATATATCTGTCTTTGTACACCAGTCTTTCGTTAAACCTCAAATCTTTGCATTCATAAAATTCGCCGTCTTTTCTCAAAATAAATCCTGTGACCGTGTATCCTACTTGAACAATTCATTAAGCCAACGAGCCGAATTTCGGACCCGTATTCCTCTGTATTTTCATAAAGCTCAAGCATCCAAAGCGTTTTAGCTGCTCAATGTTGAGGTTTTAATGTGGTGCAAATTTTACTAGCGGAATTTCCATTTTATTTAACCTATGAGGCGTTCGGTTGTAGGCATAAGCTGCTCTGCTTAGAGCTAAGTCCCACATGTTCTCAGGGGTATCGGAATCAAGTATGTAAACTCTCGTTTTCTTAACAATCGTTAGATTAAAACGTTCAGCCGTCCCGTTGTGCTCTGGTGTGTCAGGGCTTGCTAGCTGCAGTTCAACTTTCGGTCCATCTAATACTTCTCAGGTGTATCCACCTGTGAACTCTGTACCTTGGTCAGATCTGAGATAGCAAACTTTGGTATCATAGTTTAAGATATTTCTCGAGCTTCGGAAAAAATTTTTCAAGCAAATTCCCGTGTCGCTTTTAGCTTTCATTCTGGAGTAATCGTCGACAAATACAGACTCATATCCGTAGCGTTTAGGATGTGAAATTAGGCTGGTTGGATCCATGTATTCGAATTAATAATCTGAAGAGGAGCAGTAGCTTTCTTTCTTACTGTCTTAGCCGGAAGTTTGTTGAATTTAGCTATTGAACACAATTACATTCACTTTCATAAAATATAACATTCTTCAAATCTTGGTATGAAAAAATTTTTTATGAAGATCATCCTTAATAGATCATCCTAATCTAAACGTGCCATAATACAGCTTTGTTGATAAGGTCTGTCTTTTCAAGGTTTTTGTAACTATCATTTATTAATGCATTTTCTACACTTATTTTATCAAGATTCAGTAGCTTGCGCTCATTAATTGAGTTTTCGAAGCAAGAGTCTATGGGGTTTAGAGTGTTTAAATTTTCTGTACCTTCTTCTTGCTCGACATTTTTACCAGTGTTGCTGTTCTGTTGGCCGTCTTTTGTTGCAGTTCTGCTTCGTTTATTATACTGAAGTTCGCCCGAGCCATTCGTCACCAGTTATGGACGTAGCATTTCTGGTAGCCCGCCACCAATGTAATTATACCTATAACAGCAGATGTTGCTGTGGGTGGAATTGGCTTAATGCACTCGCAGCGCTGTTGTAGGGGCCGTTTCTCCAGCGGCTCTGGATCGCTGTCGTCTGGATTCAGTCTTTAAAAAGAAAGATTTAAACCGGTCATATGTCATTCTTTTCCCCTGAGCGTCTCAAATCATAGCGTCAAGGGTTTCAATTTGCTATACATTATTAACGACTGCATTGTAGAATGCATCATGTATCTTTTCCTCAGACAAGGATTGTTTCTCTTGTAAATTTTTATTGCTTCTAAAGAGCTCTTTAAATTTGTCAACAAAGTCTGATGCTGTCATTTTATTAGGAAAGTACTGAATGTTATACGATTTTCGCCTGATTTTATTTTGAAGACAAATTTGTTTTAATTTTTTTAAATTTTCTCTAATTTATGTAGCAGTTTTTTAGGATTAGAAAAGTGAGCCGTCTTTAAATCATAAGAATCATCAATACGGTTAATTATTATACTTCGTACTCTTTCTTTATGATCATCTAATTTTTTAGTGGACAGAAATATGGGAAACTTGACTGTATCATCCAATGCATATCGCAGTTTTTTGATTTTCAATTCTGAAAAGAGTTTATCTAGGAACAATTCTATCTTGGTTTTAGAAGTTTATTTGTAATTGTAACGAGAAAGTGAGTCCTCATTTAATAATTTGAAACCTTTTACTTCGATCAGTCGTTCTGTCATGCAGTGTGAAATCGAATCCTTTTTCCGAAAAGGGGTCATTCTTACGTTCGCAATCTCATCTCTACAGGAGAAAGCAGTAGAATTAAAGGTATCTAAGTTAGAATTCGATTAGCATACCTCTTGCGCTGTCACAAAAGCCTCCAGTCGCTCGGACAGGTTGGAAATGGCAAACACTGCTTCTTTTAAAGTCCTTATGCAACCTGAATTTTCTGTAGCAGTCTGCGTTGCCTTCAAGTTATCGTTCTTCTGCCTCTCCTCCATCCAGGCCATCCGGCGCAGCAGACTCGTCCTTTCTTTCGTGGCAGCACTTTTTCTAGCTAAAGATTGAGTCTTATCAGTTATCTGTCTTAAATAGTTATTAATAACTTGCGTTTAAGAAACAAGTCAATATTTTTCCCTGACACATTTGAAAGCAACCTTTTCTTCAACTTTTCCGGAATAGCTAAGCTCGTTGATTTCTCTTTTAAGATTCTGGCATCAAATATATCGAAATGTATTTCGCCACTGATCTCATTATCTCTCCTTTTATCAGTCAAGAATTCAGTCTTTTTCAATTCCGTCGTTTTAGATCGTTCTTTCTTTGAGTACTTGGGCAAGAAATCAAGCGCTTCCAAAAGTTTCGGGTTTTTCAAGCTTATATTATTTATCACAGACAGGAATATAACAACACCAGCTTTTTTAATTACACGTTTTTTTACTAATTATAGATTTTGTCCAACTCTTCTGGTTCAAAATTACTTTTAGAGATGGCTGCAATCGATTCTTCCTCATTTGCGTATATTACTAATTTGTCATCTATTTTCATGAACAAGTTGCTTACGGTACCTTCTCCAAAAATATCCGAACCAAGTTAAAAAAGTCACTTATAAATGTCAATCACATCATTATCTAAAATAAAGCCATGGTTACTAGGGCATTCCTGTCTGCTACCACGATAATAAGAAAACATACTAGCGCGTGCAAACAACGAGACACAATTGTCTGCGCGTACTATGTACGTAATAAACATGCGTAAATAACAGACAGGTCGAGATTCGAGATACCCCGGCGCACATCGAAACCGCAGTACACATGCTGTCTAGTGCGCCAAAAACATGTAAGGGGAGGAAACGGATGGCACTTTAATTGCTTATGCACGCGCGTGCATATGCAAATACAACACATACACACGCACACCGGTCTCTCAGAGATAATGTGTGTGAGAGAGAGAGAGATAGCCGATTGCTATAGTGACGGCGCAGTGGCTAAATTCTGGCACTCAGGTGGGATAGAGTGTCCCCAGCCCCAACCTCATACCCTCCTCCCGTCGCCTGCAACAGCAACTACGACCCGACACCTCCCAAAAGACGACACATGTATAAAACAAAACATGTGCGCCACGATTCGCTATAACAAAAATAAAACCGACTTACTGTTGACTTGGCACGCTACGTCTCTCGTAGACCAGTCGCCACTCTCCCACAGTCATCTCTCCTTCTATTGTTTCTCCTCTTTGTCATTCGTCACCCTTTCCTACGGTGATGCCCCTTGCAAAGAAACAAATTTACAACCACTCCCCTATACCCCACCTTACACGTTTCTTCAACAACACCATCCAAAATTTACCTGAAATAGATAGCATATCACTCTCCTGCCTTTCTATTTGTCCTCTCTAATGTTGAGTTTACAGGATACATTGATCATTTCTCAGCTTAGGTCTATTTATTAGTCAACCAGCTTACACACTCAATAAAATCTACACTACTAATAAATATCTTACATCTTCGTTTATCTATAATTAATTAGAGCCTACACCCTTGTGAACACTGTTGTACGTACTCCGTTCGGCAACACACTTTTGTTATTTAACTTGTGATTGGGCCTGTGGCCTGTTAATTCTATGAATTAATATAACTATGAATAATAATTTGATCGCTTTGCCGTACTTCAAAAGATTTGATCACGTTGTTTAAAAAATTGCTTATAAAAATAATTTGAAGATAGTTTTTAAATGTATAAACAAACACTCTGCCTTTGTTAAACTGGGAAAGAACGGATTATAATGAAATGGTGATTTTTGTTGAAACATACTCGAAGGCTTATGTAAAATGTGGAAAAAATAGTCATATAAGTATTTTATATTTTCTTAACCTTAAATTTACAAAAAAATTAAACCTTTACAAAAAAAAACGAATTAGAAAAAAAATGTATAAAACTTGAACAAGTTGTACTGCTGGTATAGAAGGAGTACTAACGCGTGCCTTTTGAACTCGGACACAACCCAGGAATAGTTGTAAATAGAGTTTGGAAGAAGAAGTGCATCGACCGATGTTTTTCTTTTAGTCTCCATAGCCTAGAAAGAAATACCTTGAGTTTTACAAACTTCTCCAAATGGATATTCCCACCAAGAATCATGATATTCTCAAAGATTTTATTATTATTTTTTAGATCAATGGTCAGTAAAGAAAGATTGACCCTGTCTCGAAGAAAAAAAAGCTTAACATTAAGGTAAATGCCCCTATAACCGAACACTCAAGCATCTTAAGAACTTTGAAGCCCAATAAATGAAAAAATAATTATGTTTTATGCATTTTTTCAAAATCCTATGATGATGTAGAACATAATAAAGTGATTGTTACCGAAATTGTTGACCAGCTTTTTAGTTTAAAGATAAATAAATTATTACTCATATGCCTCTCCTTGTACTTGTACATAAATGTATGTGAATTGAGGTTCCCCTGTGTTTAAAGTTTAATGTACCTAAAGTTGAACTTTTTTGCGTGCAAGAGGATTTCATTTATGTAAGGAAAACAACTAAATAATCCTCATCAGTTAATAATGTGCATTAAATATTGCAGGAAAATAAATAATAAAGCGTTATTAACATTTATGAATGAAAAAACGTCTTTTCTAAAAGATTAGAAGTTATAGGTTAAGAGTGCGTTGTAGTACAAAACTAAACACAATGGACTTATAACTGAATGCAGCCGTTCAACTACGGGTGCACTTTCCATCAACTATGTACATATAAAGAAACACCTGCAATATTAAAGAAAAAAAAAATATATATATATATAAACATTAATTTTCATCAATGATTTTATAACATACCAGGCTATTGCTAGTANCTTTTTAGGCATGGTAATCGAAGTGACACTTGTTTTACGTTCTTTCAGTTTCGGAAAAATTTCATAGTGGTTACTCAAAGAAGTTTTCTTCAACATTAATTTATTATCCTTAATGGGGATAAACGCATGATAATTCAGTGTCCCTGGAATCAGTTTCGCACTGGAAATTTCGTCTTTTAATCTCAAGGAAGTTTCTTCGTAGTCAGATTTGCTACTAAAAAAACCTTCGTTTCTTTGCAGTAAAACCTACGAAAACTTCGACTTACGATAGCACAATCCCAAATCATAAAAATAATAAATACTAATCTTTAATTAATCAATCGAAACTTGTTGCGAAGTACAAACCGTCACGGTTAGGTGTATTTGTTTACATCCAGTCAGAGAGACGGGAGCAGACGGCGAGCTCCTGCCGCGCATGGCCCGGCCGCCGCGGATCCCATCGTCTCGTTCGTCGTTTAAATACGTTATAAAAACGAAAAACCCCTCTTTTTTTATTGTCGATATCTACGTAAAAATGTCTCATCTTTCGATCTAGACTATCAAAAAAATTCCAAAAGTTGAAGATCATGGAGATAAAACGTGTTTTTCAAACAAGTGCATTTTTTGAGGTTATGGGGGAAAATTTTCGAAAAACTGATGCCACCACTGGAAAGCTGAGAAAAAAATACGTAAGAATATGTTTTTAGATAATTTTTTTATCAAAGTTTTGACATCGAAACGACGAGTTGAAAACGTCGTGTTTGACGCCCGCGCGGGCCGTCCACCGCGGCGCTGGGACAGTTGACGTGATTCTCCCCATATGTGCATAAGCCCATTTTAAAAGTAGATTTTTTTTTTCCACAAGTACAAGTATCGAAATAAAATAGTCAAAAACATTTTTTATTTGGTTGAATTTAAAACATTTTAATGCATTTTTCAAAAATTTGTGCTTTTTCGAAAATTTTGTGATTAGAAAAATAATTACTTTAATGACTATTTTTTCCGTATTTGAAATCAACCCATGAGTATGTCTCAACAAAAATTATGAGTCTATCTGGATTCGTTCTTTAAAAGTCTGATTTTGTAAAAAAAACCTCGAAAAAAACGCGAGAATATTTCGTCTGTCAGTATGAAATTTGGACGAACCACCGAGGAGAAGGATGGTGATGTTTCTAGCACACGTGGCTGCCCGAACTTCTTTGGGAAATTTCAGCAAGAGGTGCTCTAGCAGCACCTCTGAAGTGTTGGAGCTGGTTGTGCTCTTGCTTGACGTTTCATAGTATTGCGCTGGAGATAATGGCATTCAGATTGCCTTCTTTTCGTGCCACTCGGTCATATTAATGGTCCAAGACTTTAATTACAAATAGACAACGCCACTTAGAAAATCTTACTGAGCTGAAGCGCAAAGATATCTCTTGTTGCAAAACTTTGTACTGATTTCTTTTTATTGTTATAAACTTTTTCGAAATAAAACTATGTTACAACTTTCTAGGAAGGAATCATTGTTTACTTTTTCTCCAATTTGTTTTTTAGTCCTCAAAAATTCCAGTTGCATGATGTAATATACGTATGTGCGATGTATGTATATGCAAGAAATTAAAAGTAACAAATGCATAAAATAATCTAATACACTAAATAAATACTATGGTAAAATAAATATACAAAGCATGTATTAAAGTGAATAATGTAATAAATTTTAAATAAAAGACAGACACATCTTAGTGTAGTGGAGCATCTTTATTTAGTAAATCTATCACTATTTGTTAATCATTGTTGGCCTCTTCATATATCTAAAATAAACCTTATCATTGAGTTTTACATATTTCTATGTTTT